ACTAGCACAGGATGTGTTTCTGTATGTGGCATAATACACAACCAGATGACCTGATACCGATAATAAAATCTATTGATGCATACTAACAAAGGCTGCCTGAGTAGATTTTTTTTAAAATAAATATTCAAATTAGCATGAGTTTAATTCCCAGTATTCAATGTCAGTGCTGTCTTAATTGCACATATATCCAAACACACGTGTTTCCAGAGCAGCATATTGGGTGTGGAAGCGGTCGTCACCCTGGTGGAGGCTTCTCCTGAAACCCCCGCCTGTGTCATCGGCCTGTCGGGCAACCAAGCAGTCCGCCTCCCTCTGGTGGAGTGTGTGGAGATGGTGAGTCTCTCTCCTGTCCTCGTGTAATTTATTTGTAATGAACAGAACAGGTCAGAAGTGAGATGCTGAGCTCTGGTTTTACTGCACCACCCTTTGCAGACTAAGTTGGTGCAGACGGCCATGAACGAGAAGAGGTTTGATGAAGCCATTAAATTGCGTGGAGGGTGAGAGTTTTGATTTATGTCACCTTATTGTTTTTATTGCAAATTAAAAAAACTAAACTAACGATGCACTTTTAGGAGTTTTGAGAGCAATTGGAACATCTACAAGAGTCTCGCTTTCCACAAGCCTCCTCAGTCTAAGGTAGGTCTGGAGGACTTGTAGACAGTTTAAGCCATAAATGATGTGAAATGATCCCAGGATTTAATCTCGGTGTTCTCTTTTATGTCTGACTTATGCTTCCTCAGAGCAACTTCTCTTTTGCTATTCTGAACGTGGGAGCTCCGGCGGCAGGAATGAATTCTGCAGTGAGGTCAGCGGTGAGGTCAGGGCTCTCTCGTGGACACAAAGTCTACGGGGTCAATGACGGCTTTCTGGGACTTGCCGATGGAGCGGTGAGGCTGTGATTTTTTGTTTTGTTTGTTTGTTTTTTAACACTGAAGGAGATTTTAGCAGTTCCACAGTAACCTGTGTGAGACTGAAAGGAAAGTGTTCTTCAACCTGTCTTTCTGCAGGTATTTGAGATGGAATGGCACAGTGTGGCTGGATGGACGGGCCAAGGAAGCTCACTGCTGGGGACAAAACGGTGAGTGCTTCACTGATATGAATCACTTTACCTGATCTTAAAGGCTTAACCTAACGCAGCAGTGGCTTAGGTGTTATGAGATTTTGCCATATGCTGATGACAAGTTTTGTTTAATTTCTTTCCTAAGGACTCTTCCCAACTCTCACCTGGAGAAGATTGTGGAAACCATCACCAAGTTTGAAATCTCAGCTCTGCTTGTAATAGGAGGGTTTGAGGTATAAGAAGCACAAAAGTGTCAAATCTAAATTATTCGAGCCATAAGTTGCCGTGTTAATATTGACCTGTATCCCTTTGACTTTCAAAGGGGTACCAAGGTGTGCTTGAGCTCTACGAGGCCCGGACTCACTACGATGAGCTCTGCATTCCCATGGCCGTTATCCCTGCTACCATTAGCAACAACGTCCCGGGAACTTTCTTCAGTGTGGGTACAGACACTGCTGTCAATTGTGCAATGGAGGTAGGGCTCAGCCGAAATATATTTTTTTTATGGCTTTCTGTACAAATGTTATTCTTTGCAGTGTTAAGTTTGAAATCACAACTGCTTTGACCTTTAAGCTGTTTAAAAGACTTGAGTTTATTTAATTTTTGTTCATTTTTATTATAATTTTGTGTATAAACCAAATAGAAACATTTAGTGTTTGAGATTTTATCTTCCAGCTTTGAAGACATGGAAAATGAAACAGTGCGGTACAGTTTATCACTCTAAACCTATATTAATAGCGGACACTCACAGGTTACATTGCTAGGTACTCCTGCTCACTGGTTCATTAATGCAAATATCTTATCCGCCAATTACATGGCAGCAATTCAACAGGCATGTAGACATGAGGATGGGGGGAAAAGAGCATGGTTGGCATGGTTGATGGTGCCAGACAGGCTGATATGAGTATTTCAGAAGCAGCTGATGTAATTGGATTTCCCAACAAAACTGTCTCTAGAGTTTCAAGAGAATGGTGCCAAACAGAAAATATCTTAAAATATCATATTACAACCAAAGAATCAAATTCTTCTGCAGAGTTGTGACAAGATCAAGCAGTCTGCCAGTGGGACCAAGAGACGAGTGTTTGTGGTGGAGACCATGGGTGGGTACTGTGGATATCTGGCATCCGCAACTGGCATAGCAGTGGGTGCTGATGCAGCCTACATCTTTGAAGACCCCTTTAACATCCATGACCTTAAGGTAGAAGAAAAAGATATTGTCTAAAGTCATTTTTGTGATGTTCACAGCACTGTTTCCTCTAATAATGTGAACTGTTTGCAGACAAATGTGGAGCACTTATCTGAAAAGATGAAGAAAGATGTCCAACGAGGTCTAATCTTGAGGTACATAACATTTTATAGAGTCAACTAAATTTAAACAAGTGACAAATTAAAGGAAAAAGCTGTATTGCATGTATCCTTTTTCCTACAGTGAGGGCACAAGAGGTCACTGAATAGTTTGATAAGTCTAAAAATTGAGGAACTCATGCAGCGATTTGACAGTCACCCAATCTGAACCCAAATGAACAACAATGGGAGATTTAAAATTGACATGTTAGGCAGCGCTCACAGGACTGTCTTCAGGTACAACAGTACAGCTAAGTTTTAGTTTGCAGCTATTTACTCATAGAATAGAAGATGTATTATGTATTTTGACTTCATTATTTCACTCTATGTTCCATGTGAAGCACACAAATTGATGAATTGATGTATTTATGGATAGATTCAAATTGTGGAAATGAGTTTCCCGCCCATGCGACCAGATACCAGATAAGCAGCAGAAAATTATGGAAAATTATTGTATAAGTGCCACATCAGTTTTTATAATTGTCTAGCTGAGCCTGCATCCAATAACACTGTGGCACTCCTTTGTTAATCATGTTCTCTGTCATGACAGGAATGAAAAATGCCATGAAAACTACACTACAGATTTCATCCATAAGCTGTATTCATCAGAAGGGAAGGACATCTTTGACTGCAGAGTCAACGTGTTAGGACACCTCCAGCAGGTATGGATCAGTTTTCCAACTTTGAGTTGTAGTCAAAAGCCTACATAGACTCGTCATGGGAATGATTGTTTTGTGCTTTTAATTTCTTTGAGCTGTTCTGTTTTTATTGATTGTACAGCATCTTTAACAACTTAAAAAAACAAAAACAACAATTAGGTGCATGTGTTTGAATTAATTTTGGATTTATTTTAAATCAACATGCTAGACAGTGCTCTCGGGAATGTCTCAAGGTTGAATGAGTTTCGATGTCTTGCTAAATCAACTTTACTACGCTTTAAATTAACACCCAACTGCAGTTAAAAAAGCTGATGAAAACATCCTTGAATATTATCATTTTATTTCTGGTTTATGCTGTCCTCGTGTTTGTCTCCAAACTTCAACTATTTAGCTGTTGAACTGAGATGAAGTTGAAGAATTTGGAGGTAGTCCTCGTCCTTTATTACTCCATTCACTTTTTGCAATGTACCAGTACCACTGGCAGCAAAACAGCCCCAAAGCATGATGCTGTTACAGTGTTCTTAGGTTCAAAAGTCTGACTTTTACTCCTCCAAATTTACCTTTTCATTGTGGCCAAAAAGGTCAATCTTTGTCTCATCTACCATAAGTCTTTTATCCAGAAGGCTTTTGACTTGTCCATGTCAAGTTTGAAGGTGTCAATTTTGGAGAAAGGGCTTCTTTCTTGGCCAGTATCCTTATAGTTCATAGTGTTGTAAAATTTGAATCATTGTAGACAATGATGCTGGTGTTCCAGCAGTTTCCACTTCATAGCAGCCTTGAGCCTTGGTGGTTCCTGCAAATCCTAACCAATTTCCTCTCATCTGAGGTTGACAGTTTGGATCTTCTTCCAGACCTTGGGAAAGCGATGAAACATCCATATACCTTGAACTGACGGTCTTGGAATCTGTGGTTGGTCAGAAATGGCTCCAAGTGACAATACTTCTTAGATCGTCACTAAGTTCCTTGGACCTTCCCATTGTGCTGAGTAATGGTCAATCCAATGAGTGCTGTCAAACAAAAACCTTTTTATTCTAGCAGAGAAACTACCACTGTAATCAATCATGATCATTGACGAGAAGCTAATAGTCCTTGACCTCACCAAGTTAAAAGCCATTTTAGAACCTTTTGTACATATATTATATATTATATTATATATTTGAACCTGTGTGTACTAGGGCTGGGTATCGTCACTGATTTCTAGAATCGATTCAATTCCGATTCACAAGGTCCCGAATCGATTCGATCCACGATTCGATTTAATTCGATTGATTCGATTCACTTTGATTTGAATCTGGGAAATTTTGACAGTCAGAAATATTATAATTCAGATCAGTACATTTACATATTTTTGTATCTATAAAAAGGAAGCTGACACACGCAAGACTTTATCAAAGGTGTGAGCATCACAGCAGATGCCTTTGTGTCAAAGTAGCTGAGGATAAAGCACAGAAAAACATGAAGGTGATTTTCCTGGCCTGGGATTTTATAAAAATATTCTGCAGTACATCAAAAACGAAAGAAAACCATTAATCAACACATGAACATTACCTCTGAAGTTACAGCGGTTTTATTAGAGACACGGCTAAGCGTTTTGCATTTTGCATAATTCTAAAAAGTTTAAATTTGTTCAGTATTGAACGGCAGAAATTAGGTTTTCTTTTCGGAAGTATATAAAACGAAAAAAAAAAACCCATCGGCCGACAGTGCTGTAAACAACGGTAGACTTGTGCGTAACAAGCAAGCGAATAATGCAGAAAACAGTACAGAGAGAGAGAGGGGGAGAGCGAGAGAGAGAGCTGTGCATCGTGGTTGAAGCAAAACAGTAAAAGTAAGAGTGAATACATGACGATGTTTATGTGAAGTGTAGTTTGGATCTTCTTTTGCTGCTGGTTCGGTCTGTTTGGAGGGAGATAAAACTAACAGCTTTAGAATCAGCGCATAAAGGGCATGAACACAAAGCGCGGACCCGCCGACAGATCAGAATTAGCGAGCTGTCGGCTTTCAGCCCCGACCGTGTCCGTGCGGTCAGGTGAGAAAGGCGACATCTCACTGATTCTGATCCGCGGGTCGCGCTGTGTGTTTAAGTCTTTGTGCAGAATCCGTGTTCCTGCTCTCATTTACTGTCTTAGCTGTTTGGTGGTTGTTGAAATTTTGTGAGATTTCACCAGAGATTCTGGCATTTCGGGCAAAATAAATTTATATTAAAAAATCGATTCAGGATTTTAATGAATCGATTTTACGTTATCCAAGCCAGAATCGATTTTAATCGATAAATCGATTATAAAAACCCACCCCTAGTGTGTACAGTTTTGACCTTGTGTGGAGAGAAAATCCAAAAATAAATTCAAACGTGTGCACACAATTCGTCATTCCTGGAAAAACAACAGTTGAAAGAGATCATTAAAAGCCCCAAATCAACATGACATTCATGCCCGTGATGAGTATATGTAAATGTCTGACCTCAACTGCAATTGGCATTTTGATGTGATAATTTTGTTCTCGGTTTGGGCTGTAGGGCGGGGCACCTTCTCCCTTTGATAGAAATTTTGGCACGAAGCTGGGCGTGAAAGCTATCGAGTGGCTTTCAGAGAAACTGACTGAAAATTACCGACAAGGTAGGTTTACTGCAAGTCGTGGATGGCATTGATAGAACATGAAGCAATCCTGAGTCACACATCAGGTGTATTGACTGAATTTTTTTCCACCAGGCCGAGTGTTTGCCAACTCACCAGAAACAGCATGTGTCATTGGCCTTAACAGGAAGGTTGTCTCATTCACCCCTGTCACTGAACTGAAGGAAATAACCGATTTTGAGTAAGTAATACAAAAAAATCTAAAATATGCTGCTTTTGGAAAACACATTGTCTTGTTTATTAATTATTATCCTTTTAATCTCCAAGGCACCGGATGCCCAAGGTAGAGTGGTGGTTAAAACTGCGGCCCATGCTAAAGATGTTGGCCAAGTACCAAACCAGCTTCAATGAATATGTCCCAGGAGAGATTGAACATGTGACTCAACGCTCCATCAGCATTGACAGTGGATTCTAAGCTCTCTGTAAAATGGCAGCATGCTTTGCATCTTTTAACTTTTATCCATCATTTTTAATTCTCATCATCACATATCGTATGTAACCTTTCTTCACAAGCGTGGGCTTTCAATTTGACTGCCTGACTTCTTGTTTTCACGTAAAGATATTTCAATGCTTTCCATCAAAATGCAGAACTCCCTTTCTCTGCCCTCTGATATATCGGTTAACCTGATTTGTTCAGAAGTTTTGTGTGCTCCTTCTTGCACTAAAGTTGCTTTTATTTGCTCAGAGAAGTTCTGGTCATGATCCAATTTGTGCCCAGACTTTTTTGTTTGTGCTTAGGGGGCATACTGTATGGGCACAATAGGTGGTGGGACCTTTACTCCATGCCCATCTCTTAAACTTGAATGACCATGAATATACTTTCTAAACCCCAACCCACCCCACCCCAACCGGTCGCAGCAGATGGCCGCCCCTCCCTGAGCCTGGTTCTGCCGGAGGTTTCTTCCTGTTAAAAGGGAGTTTTTCCTTCCCACTGTC